CCATCTGAAATGCTATTGCCTGCATTTTGGGGGCAAATTTTTGCTGGTAGACTAAGCTTTAAACTATTCAATGACATTTCTTTCCATATCTTTACAGACTGATTTTTGTCTGTCAAAGATGACAAATTGAGCAAAATTTTTGTCCGTGAGGAGCGTAGTGTTGTCAGGATTTTTTGCTATGTGTACTTCCTTGAGTTACTTTGAGGAAGTGAAACCATCTTTTACATTGTACCTCCTCCCCCCATTTGGAAGTGATTTCTAATCTACATGTAAAGCATCCGTGTGCTTTAAATAACTCATTTGCCTTCAAGGAACAAAAATCCTGAGCCTTTTTTCCTGCCAACGTGGAATAATGAGAAATGACAGTTTTTGCCAATTTTACACTTTGCCTATTAAAAGTCAACACAATTTGCATCTCTTTCGTTTGAAGGAGTAACGTTAAGTAATCGTAAACATTCTATAATTGGATTCTTGGGATTTTCTTATACACAACCAGTGCTTCTCTTACCTTGCTTACGTTTTCATGTCTATCAGACACCTTCTTCAGGGCTTCTGACTGGAGTACATGTGCTGCTTCTTGCCACCATACATACATGTAGCCAAAGGAGGTGGCGCTTTTGCGGCGAGAACACAATGATTCCCAAACATGGCTAGTGTCCCAAACATGGCTAGCATTAGCAACTTATTCTAGGGTCGGTCAGGAAACAGGAAACAGAACATTTTTTCATAGGCCTTAGTAGTAAAAGTTGACTGCAATTTCCAACACAAAAAATTTAGACTCGCAACCAACTCCTTTGGTCTTTGTCAAGGAATGAGCAGCTTTTTACAGTTTTATTAAGCTTGATTCAGAATGACTTCTATCAACACAGATGAACTTTCAAGCTAACCATTTGTTTGTTTGTTTGTTTGTTTCAGTGCCGAGACTTAGTACAGGCTGGTGCAAGCGTGGGTGGTACTGTGAACGAGGTGGTAGCAGCGTGTGACATCACCTTTGGCTGTGTGGCCGACCCTAATGCTGTCAGAGATGTAAGTCATACCAATCGATCAATTAATCAATCAATCAACCAATCAATCAGTCAGCCCTTCGCAGTGTCCACTTGCTAGCTGGGTGTCCCTACATGTAGCTATTATATCTGGTTTCCTTTTTTCTGTATATTACTTGAAAATTACATGTGAAGCAGAGCTCAATATGTATCAGTCCAACTTGCACAGCTTGTGATACTGCTAGCTGGCAAAATACCACACTCTTTTACACAAAGTATATACAGTGCAGTTTACTACTTTGTGCCTTTACACAAGAGGGTATCCATTGTCCAAAATTCACTACTAGTGAAAGAATCTTACTTTCCTCAAGTGTTCTCTTCCTTCTTAAACCAAGTCGTCCTCCACTTCTTGACCTTGAGGTAGTTCATTCCTTGACCCGAGGGCCTGTCTTAGCCTCTCCCAGAACAGGACCCTTCCCGGTGTGTCCTGCGGCCAGACCAGGTAGGTTTTCTTGGACATGAGTTTCTGCAGGAGATGGTAGCGAGACAGTTGAGTCACTGGGATGTTCTCCAGCAGAACTAGGATCAGGACATCCTTCCCCTCATCGAAGAGCCTGTGCCGGGCTATCTTGAACTCCAACGTGCACCACCCGCTGCGAATGAACCTCCTGGTCAGCAGACAGACCGTTTTCCTGCTCTGCAGGATCCCGTCGGTGATGTTGTCTACGATGTCTCTCCCCCCTATAAAGTCGCGGTCAGCAATGCACAGTCTGTAGTGCGGCCGCCGTTCCTCTAGGTTGGGGATGAGGTGGTTTTGGACCCAGCGCAAGCTTTCACAGTTATACGACACAAAGGCGTCGTAAAGGATGTGTTGGTTTCTCCTCGGTATGGCCTTGTAGCCGCGAGCTTTTCCACGCAGGTAGAGGAAGCAGTACTGTAGATACGGGTGGTATTTTCCAAGGAGAAAGGCTGCAATGGTATATAAGAAGACAAGCGTGGACGTGACAATACACATGTAGTAGGCTGTGTGGAGGTCACAGTCAAGGTCGAGGTCAAGCAGAGGTAGGTTCCTGCGTTCCTCGGGAGAAAAGCAGCTGTAAGGTGTTCTGGGAACGAGATTCTGTATCCGAACAGAGGTCGTGTTCTTGATCCACTCCACGAAATCCAGAAGATCACACGTGCAGGAGAAGGGATTGTGGGATAGGTCCAGTAGGTAGAGACTGTGGAAGAACAGGACTGTAGGCGCCTCGATGGACGAGACAAAGTTCTGCGTCAAATTTAGGACCTTCAGGGACGTCATGGGTGAGAGAAGTCGTGGGTTTATGCTGTAAATTTTGTTACTTGAAAGGTCAAGGAACTCTAGGCTCTCAAGATCTCTGAAAGTCTTGACATGAAGGCTACCCAGGCTGTTGCCATGGAGATCAAGATGGGTCAACTTTCTTAGATGCCACAAGGCTTCCATGGGCACGACAGAGAAGTGGTTCAATGCCATGTCCAGCCACTCTAGTTCAGTTAGGTTGTGAAAAGTCCAAGATAGAAACGGATATGTTATGGGACTCAGTGAACCCACTATGTCAACCTTCCTGATGATAAGACGTTGCAGTGATTTCTGTGGTACAAAATCCAACTTGCTATCTACATGTAGATGAAAACGACACCCAGTAAAATCAATGACATGCAAGGATGCTGGAATTGTCTTCAGGGTGTTTTCAACACTATCACCTGCAATATTCCATCTGGAATATAACTTGTTCAGCCGAGGCATGTGTTGAAAAGTACCTGAATAACTTCTAGGAAAGAGTGCTGCATTGTCGTCTATGTTCAGTTCCTTGAGGTTCCTCAGTCCTTGGAAGTGAGAAGGCTTAAGAATAGTGATTCCGTTGTTTTCTAGGTTCAGGCTCTCCAACTTCTGCAAGTCTTGAAAGTTCCCTGGCTGTACTCTAAGATCATTTCCCCCCAGGTCCAGCTTTTGTAACGTGAGTGATATTGGAAGGAAGACTTCCTGATTCAGAAAAGTGAGATCATTCAGAATCAAATCCAGAACTTCCAGTTTTTCCAGACCGTCGAATGCTTTATTCTCTATTGTAGATATTGGGTTCAGGCCAAATGCGAGCTCCTTTAAATTTGGGAGCCCCACAAAGATGTCATTCTTTAATATCCTTATTTCGTTGTCTTCGAGATTCAACGTCTCCAAACTTTTTGGAAGGCAATCTAGAGTTTCTTTCTCGGGTGTTCCTAAACTGACGTGGACCAGACAGAGAGAAGTAACAGTGCCATTTTTGAGCTCACTAAGATGTCGTCGGAAGTCTTGCCTTGTTCCTATTTTGATTCCTGATAAATCCAGTTTCTTTATGCTCTTAAGCCTGGACAGTGCTCCATCTTGTATCTGTGCCAGTGTTGGTACAGTCCCGGTTATGGAGAGATGCTTTATTTTGAGCTGTTTCACAATTCTGAGATCTCCCTCAGTGATGTACAATACGGGGTTGTTATCTAGAATGATTTCCTGTATGTGGTGCAGTTCTCTGAAAATGTCCAGATTGATAGAGGAAATGTTATTGCGACTCAGACGAACATACTGTAGACTTGCCAGCGCCAATATTCCCTTGGGAATTTCCAGCAGTCCATTCCAAGATAAGTCCAGCCTTTGCAGTGATTTCAGAGGAAAGAAAACCTCTTTTCTCAAGGTAATAATGTTGTTGCTCGACAAGTCTAATGTTTGCAAGCAGCCAAGACCCGCAAAGGTGTCTTCTTCAACGAATTCCACTTGATTGTAGCATACCTGTAGGTCGACAAGGCTACTCAAACCTTGGAAAGAGTTGTTCCTTAACTCCTGGAGTTGGTTGTGGCACAGTCGAAGTGAAACAGTGGTGTTTGGCAGTGGATGGGGCACCGAAGCAAGCTGTAGTCCCTGGCAGTTCACCGTAGAGCCCACAATCTGACACGGGATCTCGGGCCTTGTAGTTGAAGTGCCTTCAGCAAACCACTCAAGTTGTAGGACAAGGAATAGTAGAAGAACAGGACTCATGTTGGCGCTGGTTTCTTGAGAAGTTTTCCCTGTGTACTTGTCTGAATGTTGATGCAAGTCCCTTCCTAACACTCCATCCTGTGTTAGCAGCACACAATATTTGTCATAATGAAGTATACCCACTCTTTCATGCTAATATTAGACTATTACTAGTATTAGATTCAGTTCTCCTTGCCTTCTTGGAATGACTCATGCCATGGTCATGTCCATATTTGGTCATTAGCATAACTGTAAAATTTAGTATTATTGCCAGTTTCTGCTCAGACAGTTGCAAGTCTCTATATTATTCTACATAATGTTGGATTGTTTTGTTGAAACTATACTGAGCCATACATCAGTATTCTACATACAATGTATTTGTAGGTGGTGGGAGAGTAACTGAATAGTGAACGTTTTGTGCATGTACAGTGCTGATTTGACAATGACTCTTGCCAAAATAGATTTCACTTCCTTAATCTGAGATGAGTTCCTGCAAGGCTAGCCTGGTGACCAGACCCCTTTGAGCTCTTTGATATCTCAGACCACCTGTCTGACCAGATTCTGGACCTACCTTTCTATACGAATGGAATAAAATTTGAGTTGAACACTGCCAACCTACAAACACAAGCCAACCATAGCCGAACCTTCAATCTGTCCACACTGAAATGTTTTAAACTACTATGAGAAATAAAGATCAATATATACATGTAAATGTTTTCCCAGCTTGTGTTTGGGACCAGTGGAGTTCTACAGAGCATCAGGCCTGACACAGTGTTGTTAGAAATATCCATGTAACTGTACCTGCTATTTCCTAACTGTTTCTTCCTTGTTTTCTCCAGCTTGTTTTTGGGACCAGTGGAGTTCTACAGAGCATCAGGCCTGGGAAGGCATATGTTGAGATGTCCACCATTGATGTAGAGACAGTACAAGATGTAGCTGAGGTAAGGAACTGTGCCAAGATGTCTTACACAGGTCTGTACAGATCTCAAGGAACTTCCCATCCACATAGTGTACAAATTGCAATCGAAAGTCATGCAAAACAAGGTTCAAAACGTGCATTTCTCAGTCAAAACTCGTAGAAAAGCCTCGCTTTTCTCGTACAAATCATGTTCATTTCTCATGTGAAATGCTTGTAGATGTTGGTGTAATTGTGTGTAGTTGTGCATTATAGATAGCCACAAGCATTTTATTGGTGCACGCAGTTTATGCACCTTTTACAGTTTTTAATTACGTGTTACACTGCTTTTACATGGCTTTCAATCAACATGACACAGGAAGTAAAGAAGTTTTAGAATGGGTGGAATGGGAAGTTAATCGAGATTTGTACTGTATGTATAGTTGTATACGGATTAAAAGCCGGTTTCAAAATTATAAGAAAATTGGACTCACTCAAATGTTTGAATGTGCATCTCCAGAACTTTTCCTATTGGCTAATAAAACCTGCACAAATTTGTGACCAAATGGCTACCTTAGGAGGCTGAGGGTTTAATTCGCAGATCTGAGTGAAATTTGGGTACGCCCAGTTTCCTTCCGTGTTGGTGTTTTAACACCAACACGGAAGGAAAATGCATGTCATGATGACTTGTACCGATGAACTTTCATGTGTCCTACACGACATTGCCCAGTTGTCTGTGCCACTTCCAGGTCAGTCCCAGTGTCATGCTGGGAGTATTGCTTTGTCAGAGTTCAGCAGGCCTGCTGCCAAAAGTACATTTGGCCACCAGTGCACCTACATGACAGATTGACCTGATTTCAAACTTTTGAGTGAAGGGAGGTTCTAAAAAAGTATCAGTGCAGTTTGTCACTGGGTTAGAGACGATCTTGAGACGATCTTTATAAAATCACTGGCAAATCATATAGCATTACTCTCTCAGTGTCAGCACTCTGTTGCTCTGTTGTTGGCTTGTTGTGCAGCCTACAGCACCCTCTAACAGACTAAAATGGTACTGCAACAAATAAGAATACCAGCTGATGAAGAGTGCCATGCATCACATTTGGCTGGTACTGCAACATAGTATTTCCAGAAAGAATGCACAGATTCATACATGTCAAATGAATAGTGACAAAATAGAAAGAATCAACATTATAGGAAGATAGTTTGAAATTTTTCTTTATCCACAAAATAATACTTCTCGCACAACTGAAGATTTCCTACCTTGTAAATATTTATAATTTTGTGGAATTTCAAAGACTTGTCAGTCTTTGGTTATACCATTTCTCCCCTCAGTTCTTGTGACTCTACTGTGCTCATAAAGCTATGGACACACAAGCAAACATTCAATCACTCACAAATTAAAAGCAAAACCTCTGTACACAGAGGAAACAATAAATGGTTAGAATTTTCACCTTTCTATGTCCGCCCGGTTCCAGAGTATTGAGTCGCGTGGAGGCCGGTTCCTGGAGGCTCCCGTCATCGGCACCAGAAAACCCGCGGAGGACGGGATGCTGGTCATCGTTGCCGGGGGTGACAGATCACTCTTCGATGACTGCGAGTCCTGCTTCCTGGCCATGGGCAAAAAGGCCTTCTATTTAGGTAAGGTTCCATTGTCCTTATAGAGGACATTTTATTTTGGAGCAGGCCTCAAATTTGTTATAAAGAATCCATCAGACTTTGGAGGATTATTTTTTTAATTCAAATTTAAACAAACATGTATTTAGGGCTAGACTGAAATGTACACATGATGTTTTGCTACTTTCCTCAAGGGAGTTAAGCATTATTTTTCACTTATCTGTGTGTCTGTGTGTGTGTGTGTGTGTGTTTCTGTCTTTTCCGATGCAACATTTCAAAACTAAACATGTCTCGTTTAAGGCCTTATTTCGTGCATTAAAGGATGGGGTCCCGTTTATAGCTTTGTGTTGTGTCAGAAAAGATATCATCTGCAACAGGCAAAATTCTGGGCCCTCTAGGGGCTGTCCTTGGTACTGCAGTGGCACTTCTGGTTTTTGTATCTTCCATCATTAAGATTAAGAATGGCTGCATGTGTTCCTGTGCAGGAGAGATTGGGAGCGGGACCAGGATGAAGCTCGTGGCCAACATGGTGCTGGGTAGTGTCATGGCGGGTTACGCAGAGGGCATGTCGCTGGCGGAGAGGGCGGGGCTGGATCTTCAGACAGTCCTGGACGTCTTTAAGGAGGGGCCTCTCAACTGTGCCGCCGTCAGATCCAAGGGTGACGGTGAGTCTGGAGACTTTTTAGTTTTTCAGTTATGAAACTTCCCCAAGCAAACATCTCTATTGACCCATCATCTGGCCATAAGAACCACTTTTCTAGGGTCTCAATTTTAGTTCCATAAGACGTAAACATTAAGGGACTTGCTCAAGCCAACCACTTCTCTAATGCAACCACAACTGGCAGGAATCCGGACCTCAAATGGTACCTTGACAATCATCAAAGGTGGGGCCCATGTGGTTATGTCTTAGGACATTGCGAAAGTCTACTGTAATATGGGTGGGAATATAGAGAATATTGAAGGTGTCTCAATCAGTGCTTCATTGCAAGAAGACCACTTGTGTAAGAAGAAAGGGTGTAGAAAGCCTCTTTGATGACTCAGCAGTTGTTACATACTGAAACCACACAGTACCGGACATGTTCCGGATATCCCTGTATTGATAACTCAGCAGTTGTCGTGTACTATACCCACCCAATGCAGGATGTACATGTACCTGTATTGATGTCGGAACCATCTCAGTGACTCCCCGCATACAATACAAATCAATAGCAGCTCATATTTGTGTGTGAAATCTGCTGACGCTATGATTGTAGGTACCGTAAGTCAGCTAAAATGTGCACCCTTTCAAATGCTACATTGTCCTGTTACAAAAACAGATAAACCTGTACAGCTGTAAATACAAAGCATCTGAGTGTCTTCTCTGTCATGACCAGTGGAAGAGAACATTTGTAGCTCTTTTTACTAAAACTGGATCAAGATCTCAGACTAGTATATTATAGATACACCAAAGTACACTCATTTTACAGTACTCCTTCAGCAGTGCTAGGCACTTGACCAACTTTTTGCAGCAGTTTTTGCTGATTTGCATTTTGCCCAGCGCACTCATCCCGTCAAGTGTCCTCTTGTACCGGCTGAAGAGCACTCCACAACAAACCGTTGTGGAGCTTCCCTCAACAGATCAATGCCGAACATTGATTTTTTTTCTCACACAGATAACAACAAGAGTCAGCAAATTTCCCTTTCTCTTTCTCAGTGTTCTGACCGGCCTGAAATTTTTTCCCTCATCTGAATTTTGTTTGACGTAACATCATTTACAGTGGCTACGGTGTACGGCCAGAGGCCCAACATTCCTTGCGGGTTTGGAGGCATGCTCCGTATTTGAAAATTTTTAATTTTTGACCCTCTGAAACACTATTTCTTAAATTTTGAGGGGCAGATTTTGCTAAGCTTAGTTTAATAATACCTCTTTGCATATCATGACATGCCAATTTTGTCTATCAAGGATTGCAGATTGGGCAAATTTTTGTCCATCATGACCGAATTTCTGTCAAAATTTACACACTGTGGCCTATCAGGGACTCAAACCCAGAACCTTCCAATTATAAGTCAACAACCCTAACCACAAGACCACCTTGCACCTTGTTTGCTCCAACGCATTACAAAAGGAGGGTTGTTACATCATAACATGAGTGGCTTTCATAACGGTTATTTTTTTGTCTGAAGGAGGAAGCAGCTGTTCAGGCCTGAGATAATGATTTCTATTTCTGTACGGAGAAAAGCTTCAGGTGATTTGTGAGACTTACATGTACGTACATAACAGTGTTAAGTAAATCCAAGCACATTGCGAACAAAATTTAGCTCCAGATGAAAGAAACATGCTGGAAGGAAAACTTGATTCTGACTATGTTGACATGGAGACTGTGTACAAAGCTACAAACTCTCCCCTCAGGTAAAACCTCTAGTTATGCTTTATCTGTTTAAATCTGGCAACCAAAACATTGAATAACATTGTCTGGCGCAATGCTAGCAACCAAGACAGAAAGTAAGAAAAGACAAACATAAAAAAACTTGCTAAGGTTACTGAAGGACAGCTTTATATTTTTCAAAATTTTCTACAAACTACAAACTACAAAATAATTAATGTACATGATGACAGAAGTGTGGCACACTTTGAGAATTGAATTGTTAACGTATAATTGTTAATAATGTCATTGAGTTTAATAACAATTTAGATATCAAGAAGACAGAATGTTGTTTTGCTCTTTTTCCTCTTCTTCTACTGTTCCAAAGAAATATGGTCAATGACCTGGGCCAGATAGCTCTGACCATGGTAACTAGTGCAGACACCCTGTGGTGTTAAAATGCATTATGTAGCAAGTGGCAGGACAGAGTTGGAGGGGCTGGTCACCATATTATGATTGTGTTTGAGCAAGAACAAACAGAGCAGTAGTTTGTTGGGTTGTGAAGGTAAACATTGTGCTCTTGCTTTGCAAATGTTACTTTTCCAGTTGTTGGTTTAATAAATAATGTTAATTTTCCTGTTTTGCAGCCATCCTCCACAGCAGGTTTGAGCCGTCCTTCCCCCTCAAACACCAGCAGAAGGACATGCGGCTGGCGCTGGCGCTCGGCGACGAGCTCAAACAGTCTCTCCCTGTGGCTGCAGCTGCAAACGAGGTCAGGCACCTTAAAACATGTTCAGTAGAACATCAACAAAACCCGTAATGCATTGTGCTCGGCAGTTCAGCAGAACAAGGTTGTATTAGAGCATTTAAGGATGACATCCCATCTATAGATTTCAAATGTTGTGCTGGAAAAGACAAGAGGCAAATTTCAAATGCAATGTTGACCAAACATCCAATGAAAACCGTGAAAAATCTGACATCACACAGAAAGTCATCAAAAGACATAAGCATTTGACCTTTGATGTAGGTCAACATGACTTGGTTCAATGTAATTATGAATTACCCTATTCATACATCTCTGTAATATACACGTAAATACTTGATAATGATGCAAATTCATCAACTCCAGCTTGAGTTAGTCCCCTAAAAAGCTAACATCCAAAAGTTTACACATAGATGGGCTGTCGATGTCGTGCTGACTTGATGTCCGTCTTTTTTTCTGCAGATGTTCAAGAGGGCGATCTCTCTGGGGAATGGAGACAACGACATGTCTTCAGTCTACAGAGCTACAGCCTTGTGAGCGACGCTTGGCAGACCTTCTGCGACCAAATTCTATCACTTGCCTCAACGGAGAGATAAAAAACGATTGGGCAGCATAGAAGGAGACACTAGTCGTCTCACACATCCAAATCCTCTTCTTAACCTGGCAAATTTTTGGGCAGCTTTTCTGTTACCTTCCTCGAGGACTATTGAAGTCTGCAACATCTCAGATCATTTTTTTAAATATGTTTTCTCTAATATGTTTATTGCCCATATCTTTACAGCACATAAACACATTGCAAGGGTAACAATAGCTCCCTGGGACATTTTTTACAGGGGTATTTCATCCCCCTCCCCTGGATTTTCTGTACTATAGTTCATTTCCTAGGACTTCTGTGCATTGATATCTTCCCTGGGAACTTTTGAGACTGTAGACTTCTTGCCACATTTGAGACTGTACGCTTCTTGCGACTGTAAGCTACCCTCTAATGACTAGAAGTACATGTAGCAGTGTTCATGAGTCCCTGAGGAAGGTAGCACGCAGGTTCCCCAAACATAGCCCAGGAAAGAAGAGACTTAGACCTAATTTAAACTCGGGCAAAAACCTGACAGAATGAAACTTGCATACACACACAAGCATATGAAAACTGCGTACATCAAATTTTTCCTGCTTGTAAATCGGCCTGCTTTACATACTTAAAAGAACAAACTG